GCTGGGACCTAGCTTTTGAGGAACAAAAAAAAAAAAAAGCCATTCTGGAAGTCTTTACTAGGTTGATATTAAAATATTTTGAGGATAAAATTAAAAAAAAAGTAAATTCCCCAGAACAGCTTAAAGTGTCTATGTAACAGACATCTGAAAAATAACCCCAAAACTTGCGGAAGTGTATCTATATAAAGGGAGAAATTCAACAGAAATAACATATTTCACTGTAATGTTTTGACAGGTTTCTATTTATTAACTTTAATGATTAATAAATTGTCTTGTTTCACTTCGTCAGTGTTCCCATCTTGTTTCAAGATTTTAATGGAAACAGAGCTCATATGAACTAGATACAGCATTTCACCAATATTTCATTGTTTTCTAGAAGCTAAATACTGCATTGGATAGGAACAAAGAAAGTAATGGTATTCTCTGTATCTCCTTGTTCAATCATTAATTCTTTATATTAAAAAAGTCTTGCAATACTGTGTCAAATTTAACCATATTTGAACATTGTTATTATATAGTAAAATGTTGCTGAACATATCTTTTCTTCCTTTCACTACTTTGTGTGGTGGTATATTGATTTGTAAACTTGTATAAATTTTGGAATTAAAGAAATACTGTGTTTTGGATTATTATTATAGCTGATGTGATCTGAAACAAAAAGGTGTCAATGGCTTGTTTGACTGGGCAGATAACTGTATGAGTAGGGGTGGGAAGGGTGTGGAGGTGGCACATGCTAATTGCCCATAACTGTCCAAATAGGTCTCAAGATTTTTTTTTCCCCTAAAAGAGAAATAGAATTCCATTTACAACCAAACTGCAAATCTAGCAGAGGTGCAAGAACGCTGCAGACCACATTGCTCTACACTCGGGAGCTAAGAAGTTTGTGTCCCTTCCCAGCTTTTCACAGAGCAATTGCTCAAATAGTAAATCATGGCAATATTAGTATGTCACGCTTTGTAGACCCACCTGTACCTGAAACACGGGGCATTCAAGAACGCTTATTTCTGTGGCAGAGCTGCAATACACTGCAGCAGGGTACTACCCAGTGCTAAGAAGTCTTGTGCACCCAACTCTTCCACTCACATCTCCAAGTACACCACCTCTTGGAGATGACTCCAGTAAGGAGCGCTTGATAACCCGTCCATTCCAGTGCAGGTAGCTAAGCTCCAGTAGGGTCTTACTAGGATCCAGTAAAGCCAGAATGTTCTTATGTGCTGAATATACTATGAGGAGGGGACAATCACCTGAAATGAAATTTTCATGTGAATTCATTGGAATTAAAATTTTGCAGCACATGATGGAGAGTGTCACCTGTTCATAGGCACTGGGCCAGTTCTTAGACTCCGTTGTTTTTATTAATTTGATTAAAAACACAAAGAAATTATGCTCAAAGTAGCTCACCTGAATTTCGCTAAATGTTCCTATTCACAAGTGAAATAAGGCAAACAAAATTCAAGACTTGGTTCCCCACTGCCCATCATGCTGGAAAGTTATTGGTAGCTATAAAAAAAATGTATCTGAAACCTTATCAGCTTAGAATTGCTGGTATTTAAAAATGCACTTTCCACATGTTTAAGGACTTTCAAAAGATGTGAGGCTGTGGAGAATCAATACTGGTAACTTTTCAGCTTATGCAGCATGTATTTTACATGACAATTATAAAATGAATGCATTGACTTGTATTTTGGCAGCTTGACTTAGTGTGATTAAGTATGGTAACTATAAAGAAGCTGCTGATCTGACATTGCGTTTCACACAGGCGTGTTGATATCTGTGAATGCAAATAACTGGAATTGTTACAAATCAATGACAGCTGCCTCTTGGAGTTTTTTCTGTACTGTAGTATGTATCTGTACACACACACACAAATATATTCCAATATCGTTATCTGAAAAATAGAATATGTATTATCTTTTTTCGTACAGTACATGTATTATGCTTGTTTTATGGTGTTTTTATTTAACAAGCAAAAAAAAAGCGTGCTGCCTGGTTGTACAGTGCTGTAGGATACTCTGCTGTGCACAGTTCCAAGTGCCTTAGACAACGGTTTAGCTCTTTGAATTATAGATATCTATGAGTGAATATATATATAAATATAAAATGAAGCAAATTACCTCATTAAAATTGTTCAGAAAATCTTTACAGAAAATATTTTGTTGAATGCCTAGCCCGTACACAGTCGTGTGTAAAAGAGTTAACTTCAGAGAGCTGTTACTTTTTGGAAAGCAGCCTCCAGAGACTGAAGTAAAAGCCCCACTGCATGGAAATGAGATGAATTAAGGTTCCTGAAACCTTCCTTTGAATTTTGGAGCCTTCAAACATATCTGGTAGCTCTCTTGTGGGTGGTGTATTCCTGCAGAGGTGTGTTCAAAGAGGTGATGATAGTTATTTTAGAAAGATGAAGTTCGCATTGTAACTCAATGGTTCAGAGACCCAATTTACGCTCCTGGTTTCCCAACATTTTTTTTATCAGCAAGAAGTGGTTTTCACTAGTTTTGGTTTCACTGACAGCAGATTTGCACCAGAATTACACCTACTGTACATGGACAAAACTGATCTGCATAGCTGAGGGTTCAACCAAGTCTGCAGTATGTCTGCCAATCTTCTAACATTACAAAGTGACTGACAATAACTTTTGCTCTCTAATTACTTTGTAATAACTTCTGCCTTGCAAGAACTGAGAGAAAAATTTAGTAGCATAAATTTCCTCACATGAAGGGAAGTTCTTGATTACATTAAGGAAACGTATGCTTCCAGCATATTATTTTTCAAGTGGCTGCCTCAACAGTGAGACCATTGCAACACTGACCATTCTTCCATGAGCACGAAAGTAGTGGTTGGTGGCCTAAGCCTTTCCCCCTCAGCCTCTGCAGACGCTCTTTGCCGAGTTTGAACTGCAAGGTGTCTCAGCGGACACAACGAGAGAGTACACTGGGATGGACGGCCTTGGAAGGCTTAGATGGAGTTAGAAGCTTAAGTAGAGAGAAACTCTCTCATACACAATTCATGTAGATGTGATACTAAATTTTGCACTTTGATATATCGTAAATCAGTTGGAAGGAGATGACTCACCCTTAGGTACCAACAAAGGAGGCAATATGATGCTTATTATTGTTAATACTTCAATCTTAAAAGTGATCTTCAGATGTATTACCGTTGGCATACATTATCAATCTTGTGTGATAAGGGAGCCTGTTGCTTTAATCACAGTGTGAGCATATAATATAGGTCCTTCCCCCTAAACACTTAGAATCTGAGCAGGAAATACATGGTGGGAATGTGAGTTAAAGCAAGTCAGAAAACCCTAAGTCTTGAAAAAATGAACAGGTGAATTTAACTTACACATATGAAGCAGATGGTTAGCAACAGAGCTGAGAGCAAGAGCTAATTTTTCCCACTTCCAGACTGCCATGATGCTCCTAGACCAGATTTGGGGTATATGGAAAGACAGTACTACCACTATTATATAGGGGGTCACCAGGAGACCCCTGGTAGGGGTATGTAGGGGATTGTCAGGTGTAATCCTGTTACCAAGTCTACATACACGTACTTTGCACTTCTAGGGATGCCAGAGCTACCTCAGGGACCTGGAAGCAATAAGGAGCAATACAATCTACTTTGTTATCCCACAGATAAGTGCTAAGCACTGTATTTTTAACAGTTGGGTGATTCCACTCTTAGTCGCCTTGTGAAAAGCCAGCTCGACTACTCCGCCTGTCAGCGGGATTGCAGTATAGGCATGCTATAGGGAAGGAGTTGCTCCTGGCAGCTGCAGTCCTGAAAAATTTGCTCACAGTATGCAGTCAAAGGGTTGGTAGCCTTCCTGTTCCACGAGGTGTGTTCTGCAACCTTCAGAGGGCTGACAGGTGGTTGGACTTGACAATCTTAGAGGTCTTTTCCAACCTATGATTCTATGATTCTGTGATACTCACCATGTACTTGTAGGAAGCGAGAGGAAAGGAAGGCCTAGACTTTGCGCAGATATATGCAGGGGTAATTTGAGTCCTCTGGGTACAGCAGTCATTTCACAGAATCACAGAATGTTTGGGGTTGGAAGGGACCTCTGTGGGTCATCTAGTCCAACCCTCCTGCCGAAGCAGGGTCACCTACAGCAGGCTGCACAGGACCTTGTCCAGGCGGGTCTTGAATATCTCCAGAGAAGGAGACTCCACAACCTCCCTGGGCAGCCTGTTGCAGGGCTCCGTCACCCTCAGAGGGAAGAAGTTCTTGCTCATGTTCAGACAGAACTTCCTGTGCCTCAGTTTGTGCCCATTGCCCCTTGTCCTGTCACTGGGCACCACTGAAAAGAGTCTGGCCCCATTCTCTTGACACCCACCCTTGAGATATTTATAAACATTTATTAGGTCCCCTCGCAGCCTTCTTTTCTTTAGGCTGAACAAGCCCAGCTCCCTCAGCCTCTCCTCATAGGACAGATGCTCCAGTCCCCTCATCATCCTCTTAGCCCTCCGCTGGACTCTCTCCAGTAGCTCTTCATCCTTCTTGAACTGGGGAGCCCAGAACTGGACACAGTACTCCAGATGAGGCCTCACCAGGGCAGTGTAGAGGGGAAGGAGAACCTCCCTCGTCCTGCTGGCCACACTCTTCTTGATGCACCCCAGGATCCCATTGGCCTTCTTGGCAGCCAGGACACACTGCTGGCTCATAGTTAACCTGTCGTCCACCAGGACACCCAGGTCCCTCTCCGCAGAGAGCCCTCCGGTGTATCTACCACCCCTCCCAGTTTTGTGCCATCAGCAAACTTGCTGAGGGTACACTCTGTCCCTTCATCCAGGTCATTGATGAAGAAGTTAAACAAGACTGGGCCCAGTACTGACCCCTGGGGAACACTACTAGCTACAGGCCTCCAACCAGACTCAGTGCCACCGACGACATTTCAACAGAGGGAGCGCATCAGGTTTGTGCACTGCCCTCAGAGTGGTGCCATGAAACTTCACGGCCAGGACGCAAGACTGCAGAGAACAACGGCCAGAAGAGTGACAATGCGGGTGCTTTCGGAGCTTTAGTGACACCTACTGAAAAGCAATGAAATCCACTCACATATGACTGAAGCTCGTATTTGAAGGTGCATGTGTGTGCATACGCGTTTAGCTGTGTACATACACACGCATAACGCATGGAGAATTCTTTCTTAATTTTCGGTAACACCCTTTCCACGGCTGTCACTGTTCCAGTTGTCTGTATGCACGTGGGAGAAACCGCTCCTTCCTGTTTTACACTTTCTTTTCGAAACGTAATAAAAAGATTTTAGGTCATATTCCTAAAACACCAAGCATTCCTCCCCCCGCCCTTAGCACGGAGCGTGCACGCGTGCGTGCCAGGCAGAATTCACGCGGCGCCGCACCGCGGGGAACAGCCACCAGCGTGCGGGGAAGCCCCGCTCCCGGCAATGCCTACTGCCCACAC